GGCTTGTAAGAAAAGGCTTGACTGCTCAAAAAAACATTCTTAGGCAAAGCGGACTGGTCCTCCTGGATTTCCAGGTCTTTGATACACCGTTTGAATTCACTGAGTGCACGCTCATAGCCCATCATTCGGAATGCCTCACTAGAGAAGCCGAGATGTTGAAGTTTTTGTATGATACTCCTGAACCATACTGATTTATAATTATCCTTGATAAGGAAAGAACCCAAACCTGTAGGGAAAAACAGTAGTTTCAGCCAATGTGCTATAATCCAAGACCATGCACCTGTTTCGACTTTGGATAACCTGCTTCCCTCCTTAGTGCTACATTTGGGATACAAGGGGCTACCTGAAATATGGCCCTTAAGAATTTGGATTGAACCCTTTCCAAAGGTGTAAAAGAAGGATACGGTCCTAGCTGGGCACCAAAGAGTAATTGTAAGCGAGCCTTAGCTGAGTATAGCTTCAGTGCTGCTGGGATATGCTCTGCCCCCCTGGTAAAGTAAAAGGATTGGAGTGCAGCTACTGTTTTTTGAGCGTTTTGTGTAACGTAGCTTTGGTGCGCACTGCGTTTAGTGGAGCTGTGAAAAACCATGCCCAAATATTTAAAGGTTTTAATGGATTTAAAAGAATCCTTTAAATATTTAAATGCTTTAAATCCTAAAAGAATCTGTCTTTCTGTAATTTTCTGTAACAAAAATTATCTGTTTTGCATTCCGGAATGAAAGAGAACAGGGTTTGACCTTTTCTGTGGCATATTTTCATGTATCTGAAGAGTGCTATCAGTCATCTTTTCTCAAGGCTAAGCATACCCAGCGATTTCAATTTCTCTTTATAGGATTTAATTTCTAGTCTCCTGATCATTCTCATTGTGCTTATCAGAGCTAATTTTCCTGAATCCTTTCTAAAGGTTTATAACTAATCACAGTACTTAAGTTGGGATTGCTTCCCATGATTTGGACATTATATTTTTGTGGATACAGTGTAAAATTGGATTTGCTTTTTTTTTTTTTTTTTTTTTCCCTAA